CCCCCCCCCCCCCCCCCCCCCGTACGAAAGCGCATGCCAACGTTGAAACCAATCAAATTTCAACCTCAATGGCTCGCGCGACAGACCGGCAACCCACACAACCAACAAACCGTTAGCAGAGGGCCGACTTCCACCACAAACAGTTGAGCCATGCTGTAACAGAACAGCGTCAGCTTGACGTCGGGTGCATAGTCATCAATCATCCGGTTAACCTGCCCCCAGCACACATGCGCCAAGTCAAGTAAAGCCAGAGAAGATGCAAGACCTTCCCTACCACCGCAGCGCTCAATCCACGGAGACCTGTCGAGATTTGCCACGCCCTCTTGCCCCACCTTGAGTTTGATCAACGGTGCCATTTGCTTGATCGAGGGAATTGGAATGCTTCTCAGTTCGTCGTCCACGACCTGCAGCGGAGAATCGCGTCCAGCCCCCCCCCCCCCACACACAAAGGCATCATCATGAGCCGTTGCAAGAAAAGTATGATAGAAGCGCTACAAGAATCAATCAGGGCCACGAAACAAACCTCAAGAATGCGATCTGAGACGTCTGTGCGATGCAGCACATTGGCCGTCAGCAGGGAGATGGCCAAGCCTGCTGCCAGGAAGCTCACAAAGATCAAGGGGAAGGTGGCCCCCAGATAGTCAGCCACCTTGGTCTGGACCCGCGCTGCCAATGGAATCTGATGATTCAAATCAGCAGCATGCATGAGCAGTGGCCAATGCGGCAACAGATGAAGCAGGGATAGCGCTGTGGGCGAGCCGACACCAAAACATGATTCCCACCTGACTTGGTGCCGCCGCAGGACTGACTGCTGCCGCCTTGGGCACCACCTAAGAACACGACCACGTGAGCCCAAACGTTTTCGGCGTGCACCATGCGACACCACCGAGGAGTGGTCCAGATCAGCAGGCAACGGGCACCAGCCCCGTACCCGCACGGTGCGAACAGGTCTCAAGAGCTTGGCGTAAGCCTCTTGATGAGAAATGAGCAAAAACGCCGTCTTTTTGGTCTTCATGAGCATTGAGAGCTGACGGGCAATGCCGTTTGCAGTGGTGGCATCCAGCCCAATAAAGGGCTCATCAAGCACAATGACACGCTTTTCCTGGGACAGCAGCTGTAGCGCATGCCAAAACCCCAGCATGGCATGAGACAAGACAAAAGGCAACGTGCTCGCAACAATGACTTTGAGCGGCCTGATGCCCCCATCATCCGAAACGCCTGGCATACCTGGGCCAAAGTCGCGCGGCGCAGCATGCCCCCAGAGAGCTCATTGGGCATTTTATGCATGTCCTTGGCTGACAAGCCCACGCTCTCGAGCAAAGCTTTGACTTGTCTGCCAGAACGCAACCCAGAACAAAAGGCCCAAAAAGCAAACAGCTACTGAGATCAGTCACCACGATTCGCGATATTAAAAAAAAAACATTGAAACAACAAGGCACTGCCGTCTGACGCACTCTGAAGTCGCTGCGGTGCCCTCGCCCGCCTGTAGACCAAGCAGGATATTATCATGCAGGCTCAACTCGTCAATCAGCACGCCTGCAAGCGGTTGAGGAGATGTTGGCACACGAATGGGCGATGGCGGCGTTGAGGTCCGCTCAGACTCTGCGTCATTTCCCCGCTCCGTCTTGAGCCGAGCAGAAGCGGCCAGATCATTTGCGTACCTTGTTGAAACAGCATGCCAGCACGGTTGTGATGAAGGAGGTCGTCCCGCCAATTGACTTGGCAGTCAACATCAGGAAGCGTAGTCAACCCCAACACCTGACAGAACGGTGCAACCCCACATGAGAATGGAGTCAGCAAAGGCCAGTGGCGTGCTGGCAACCCAGCGAGCAGCAAGCAGCGAGTATCTCGAACCTGCAGCGAAGAGAGGGTCTTGCCTGCACCAGAGGCGCCTTGCAACCAGACACACTCGCCCTCGGCCAAGTGGAACTTCAGTTCATCATTGTCAAAGGGGCACTGCGGGCCCGTCTGGGCTCCACAAGAGCGCGGTACACAAGCAGCGTTCCGATCGTGTGAACAGCAGGTGCGAGAGCAGCGCACACTCAGGAACAGAGCGCCAAGTCCGCACCTTCACGAGTCGCGCCTCGAGCAAAGGAGCCGCCATGGCAACTGGTGCACTACACGCAATCGTCTAAAAGTACCAAGCCGACTTCTTTCCCGCCTCTCCCGACCGTTCGCTCATCTACGCTGCCGTTTGCCACCACGTGTCCGTTCAAGGAAATGTATCTCTCGCTCTCTCTCAATCTCTTCTTTTCTCTTCTTTAATTCTCTCTTTCTCTCTTCTTTCTCTCTTCTCTCTCTCTTCTCTCTCTCTTCTCTCTCTCATTTCTCTCTCTCTCTCTCTCTCTCTTCTCTCTCTCTTCTTCTCTCTCTCTCTTCAACTCTCTCTCAATGATCAATTTTTCGACTCAAACGCTCACAGCAACGAGACAAGGAAAGGACTTATGGACATGCGTACAGTGGTGAGGCGCTTTGAAGTAGTAGTGAGCTGGTCGTATGGATGTGATGCACACCAGGCCCCCGCGCCAGGATCATTGATCACCGAAACTCGCTTCGCTGCCGAAATCACAACACTCAACACTCCGATCGAGAATAACCCGACTGCTTGAAGCACCTGTATTTTAGGAGCAACTCTGCTCCAGCTCTACAAGTAGGTGCAAGGCATGAGATGTATGTCGGTGAGGTACAGGAGAGCCACTCAAACGTCGACCTCGGTCGACCTTGACCACGTGCGAAATTCCCTTGACTCTGTGTCGCTCTCTCGGTTTTTTTTTTTTTTAAACTGACGTCGAGTCGAGCAGTCGGGACAATCATCCAAGTGCTGGTCCAAAACTTTCACGTCGCGCTCCAGCTCCTTCATCAGACGGCCGTCCGCAACCTGATCAAAGTTGTCAACGTGAGATGAGGGCGATTGAGCCTGGGCTAGGGCACAACGTCATCTCGCTAGTCTGGCTCGGGCACGCACTTTTTGCAACGCTTCAAGGCTGAAAAGAGTCTCGTTGACCAAGTACTCAGGACTGAGCCGGCACGCCTGAAGAAGATCAATCTTGGGGCAAGACTTCATGATGATGCCGAGCTGAGTGATTTTGGCTCGGGCGCGACTGCCAAGCACACACACACAGGATCAAGGTATAAAGCACAATGGCGTAAGACAACGTTCCTAGCCGAATACAACAATGCCGTGATCTGCAAGTGTGAAAACGCACATGACTTGAGCTAGCTCCTTGACACATTGCCTCAGCCATGGAGCGTGATATTCGAGCCGAATTAACGCCTATTTCCGTCAAGAAACCCAATGCAAGCCAAAGTTCGATGCATTAGATGTGAGGCTGGTATCAAGAATGGAGCGCAACGCTTTGGCGGTGGTACTCACGGCTTGGGCATGGGCGTGAATGTGTGCCTTGGCCGCTCGGCAAACGGGTTTTTCTTCATGATCCCAGCTGTTCAAAACCATGCCCGGCACCACGGACAGATCGTCCACGTGACATTTATCGCAGTAATGCTTGCCTGTATACCAGCACAGCCTAATGGGTACCAGCATTGTCGCCGGGCCACATTTGACAAGCCGGGCAAAATCAGAGGCAAGCCTTGCAAAGATGGCAGAGCAGGGACCGGCCAGTCAGATTGTGCACCCGTTGGCAAGATCACTCATACCGAGCAGGGACGTTGATGCCGATGGCAGCGTTGCATTCGGGGTTCCAGCACTGAAAGTCTTGGTCGGCCAAGCCAACAACTCGCCCGATATCAAAAAAGTAGTTGGCCATTTCATGGGAATATGGGTTGTACGTGGGCAACTGGGCTTCATACATGGGCTGGGCCTTCTGACCAAACGGCAAGACTGAGCTGGTAACGCTGGCCAGGCGCTGCACCGCCGCTCGAGACACTCTGGCCTTGACCATGGGCGCGTGCTCTGCGGGCGAAGCTACCGGTGCTGTGCTGGGTGCTGAAGGCTGGGTCGCGGGAGGTTGCGGCGCTGCAGCCTTTTCTGGGCTGAGTCCAGTCCCTGTGGACGGTGCTGAATCCTCCCCGACGGGCTCTTGGAGGTGCTGAGCGGCCTTGAGCAGGGCAGCAACGTCGCCATCCGTCACCAGTTGAAGGTCTGTCTGTGTCTCGGCGCTGACATGCCGAACGTCAAAGCGGCGGGCTACGTCACCAATTGTCAGGTCGGTGTTGGTGGACGAGGCAACGGTCTTTTTTTTGCGCCTGGGTCCAAGTGGGGCGTGAGTTACGGTGAGAGGAGCAGCAAGCCAGATGGATGATGAAATGCCAATGACAAGGCGCACTTTTTCACGGTTGTGATTTCCGCGTCCCAGCCCTGCATAGATGCTGTCAAGTCTAGGTACATTTTTGGGGCATGAGCAAGCCGGCGGGATCTCGTTTGGCGATAGAGGAAGTGGGTAAGGGCCTGAGATCGAGCCATTTAGGAACCAAGGCAAGAGATCGTCGCAGAACGCGAGCACTTTACCTGAAACAGAAGGAGAGGGGGAAGGAGAGGGCAGAGAGGCGGCAAGCGATCCGTGGCGGCTACGCGTCTCGGTGCTGGAGCCGAGCGCGGGCGAGCTCTGAACCAGATCAATGAAACTCAGCGTGAAGGTATAGGGAGACAACTGAATTAAGAAACCGTGCAAATACTCGACGTGCTCCGAGTTGGCCAATAAGGCTGCAGGCTAGGTTGAGCAGGGAGATTGATAGTATTGCCATTACCAGGCACAAGGCAGGGGCGTGAGCCAGTCTGGTCAAGAGGTTAAATAGACGGCGAGTGCCGCGAGTCTTGGTGCTTTTCATCAGGCATGGTAGCTGGCTGGGAGATGAGTACCTCGTAGAATTTACTGAAAACGCGATTTGCATCGCTCTGTTCCAGCAAGAGGATGTAATCGTGGAGGTTGTGGAGCTCTAAAGGACCAGAAGGCATGATGATCAGGCGCCAGCTGTGCCCGGGTGTGATGCTCAAGCTATCAGCATACCTTGTCGGATCCAAGCGCGACAGCGGGCGAGTGGCGTCTTGAAAGGAACCTTGGGGTGCTCCAGCTCGGCAATGACCTTGGCCGGGCAACAAATGGACATGAGAGCCCAGATGGCCTCCGCGCGCGATTCCCAGGGCTCAAGAGCACCATCGACAGACTCGCTGGACTTGTGCGATCGGAACATGGCCGAGAGGCTGGACGTGTGCTTGATGGCCTTGGCTCCATGCGCAAAGCACGCCAGGATATCCTCGCAAATGGCCAGAGCAGCCTCATCGCGAGGGTCTTCAATCTGATTCGTCGGCAGCTCCTGATGCGCCACCACAAACGTCACAATCTTCTGCTTCAGCGCTTGCAGCAGCGCCACCGGCGCACGATCCCCCCCCATGATGCCAATATCCTCCGGCCAGTGATGATGCCCAGCAACCTCCTCCTCAAGTCGCTCAAGGCAGCGATAGCCTGCTCAACAAGTGAAAACGCAAGCAGCATCCACCCAAGCCAAGCGCCACCCAGAACAAGCTCGCTTCTTCTTCACAGCTGCAGCAAACTCTCTCTCAACTCTCTCTCTCTCATAAATCTCTCTCATCATTTCTCTCTCTCTCTAAATCTCGCTCTCTCTCTCTCTCTCTCTCTCTAAATCTCTCTCTCTCTCTCTCTCTCTCTAAATCTCTCTCTCTCTCTCTCTAAATCTCTCTCTCTCTCTCTCTCTCTCTCTCTCTCTTCATCTCTCTCTCTCTCTCTCTCTCTCTTCATCTCTCTCTCTCTCTCTCTCCCTCTCTCTGTTTTTCTTGTTGTTGCTGTTCTTGATCTTGTTTGATAGGAGTCACGGTGTTGGTCGCCCATCATGGCCCAGGAGCCGCCATGAGCTGTGCGTGGTTCCAAATGCATGTGCATGCTGGTGTTGCGAGATGAATGGTGGGCCAGGGTAACCGTGTCGCCTCGCTCACGCGGTCCAAACGTGCTGGATCGCACCCCCAGTGCCCCCTCCAAAAACGAAAAAAAATCATAGGAGCATACATCGCCGCTTTGGGACGCGCCCGCCTGAGCACGCACAAGAATGGGCATCAACCAGTGGCTCGAAGCCACGGTTTGGCACGCATGCCAGGCCCCTGACCAGAAGATTGAATGCATCGAGTGCGTAGGCGTGCTTCAAACGGAGCTATACAGCCAACAGCGGCCGCGCATCGATTCACCCGATCCCGTGCGATCGGAGATAGATATGGCATCATTGGCGCCGGCTCCTTTCTGCTGGCCTGTATTGCCGTCGTTTTCATCATTGCTGGCATCTTTGGTGACCCTATACGTCCCCTTCGGTACGAAGCACTCTACACCGCCCTGAGACCCTTCAGCCGGTCTCCCTTCATGTCACGGGCAGCACGCCCGCATCGCTAAACTTGTGGTTTGTGTCTGCATCCCGCAGGATCCTCATCTTCTCGCTTGTACTAGTCGAGGTACGTACACCCTGATGCTGACCCCCACGATCCATCTGCACGCCCCTCTTTCACGCGCCCTTGCCCGGAATTACCCACGAATAGTGCCTCCTAGTGGGCGTGCGTGCCGTGTTCTACGCGCATCCTGCGCTCGCCATTGCCCAGCTCTTGCTGGATGTACAGCTCAATTTCCTACCCATCTACACCTACCTGTCCTATGCTGTCCGAAGCGTCGGCTACCGCAATGTCTTGGCTCAGTATGTCGACCACACCACCAACATCTCACTTGATCTCGTCCTTATCGCCATTGTTTGGCACCGCCGGCTCGCGGCACCGCTTCCGTCATGCACTGTGCATGGTCTCTTGCTTCCTCTCACCTTCTGCCCCGCTTGGATGTTCGTTTGAATCGCAACATGACAGGTTGATCGGGCCAGCCTTTTTACTGCAACTGGTCATCCTGGGCGGTCTCACTGTGACGACTGCCGTCTTGAACCGAGCTAGCACCCAATTTTGCGCCTCGGCTATTTACGTCACCACTGTGGGGTACGTGCGACGCAACTGGCAACTGGCCCATTTCGGATGGCGTTGATGACCCATTCTTACTCATCGTCATCCTGTCTCGGACTCAAAATCTGCATCATGACGACTGGGACACATGCACAGCTTGGCTGTGGGCTTTTACATTTTCTGTATGGCATGGACCACATCGATACACATGCAGGTAGGAGATTGCCGTCGGTCTCTCGCTCGCAAGCCCCATGCAGCATTAAGATGGCCGTCTCACCACACATACACACACACCATCATGCCCTCGTCAAAGATACGACCGCGTCTGTTAGAGGTGCAGCGAACGTCTGAAGGGCGTCTGTACGCGTGGTGTTGTGTCATTGGAGTGAGCGTTATGGTGCAAGTGGGAGCGGGCATCTATCAGGCCAATGCGTTTTCCTGTGATTTTTCCACCCTGGTATGGACCTCGCCTCGCCGTTGTTGTTTTGCTTTGTTTTTTTGCCCATAAGTGGGGGACCAAGGACGGATCGAGAACCAGGTCAGGGGGAAGAGGCCAGATTTCTGAGTCCTAACTGCTCTGCCCGTCCGCCTACTCCTGTACCTCGGTCGCAGAGTGACTCGACGGCCGCCACTGCTGCGAGACTGGCCATGTGGGTCATGCAAGTGGTGTGGCCCTGCACAGCCGCAATAATCGTCACAAGTCTCGAGGCCACCTCGAGCCAACAGGCAGCGTTGACCCGGGACGGCTACATGCAGCTCGAAAGCTAGTGGTCACTGCATATCCCTTTGTTGTGTGACGCCTGATCAAACGCAACAGGGTCTAGGATTAGAAGGCTGTACCCAAGCGGCAATCGAGGCTTTGAGTCAAGCCAAGGCCTGCCCCCACCCCCAAAAAAAAACAAAATAGAATTCATGTCTCGTTCATCCTCAACCAGGCAAGGGCTCCAGTGGAACAACACCAAACCAATTCATTTCTCTCTCTCTCTCTCTCTCTCTGTGACCATTTTCCAGTTTTGACGAGTGCAAGCCATGTGAGACGTCACTGGCAGCGGGTGCCTACCCCTCCCCAGTCCTCCTCAGCTTGAGGACTGGGAAGCGGTTTGCACCTGGACTTGAAACCTTTCTTCTTTATCGATCAACACGGCGCCGCTTCCAATGGGAAGAGTGAAAGCAATCCTGGCTGGCCACACATGACGAGGTATGTGGTTGTTGCTTTTGCCTGTTTTTTGATTTCAAGTGATGGCCCTCTCGACTCCCGCGCCTGGCGTGGGCCGTTGTCCGCTCGAGGATCTGCACAGCTGCGATAGAGCCAATGAGCATCAAAACGACCCTATATGGAGTTGAGCAGGGCCTCACTTGTTGTCGAGACAAAACCTTTCCTGTTTGGAACCGAGTTCCAGCCGGCGTGGGTTTCTTCTCGCTCGTGGCTTTCTCACAAATACCCTTGACACCTCCTTTTAGTGACCTGCACACATCTCTACTCTGAACCTCGCCACGTTGGGCACCAAGTGACCGACGTGCCCAATGACATGTCGCTTCTGAAACACACGTTTGGTAAGCTGCGTCACTCAATCTTTCTTATTCGTTTTTTGCCACGCCTGGCAGTGGGGTTTTGGGCACGTCCATGATGGATCAATCAGAACCACTATCCCCAGTCACGATCTTGTGTCGTGACGTTGACGAGCAAGCCTTTTCTGAGACTTGCCCACAGCCCCACTCTTGCCACATGTGCCTTTGATCGACGCAGCCTTGTTGCTCCTCAGCCCCTCACACTGCTGTATTTTCTTTTGCCTGCTGCTCTTGTAGGTGCGTTCTGTCAACTTGACATCATGGGCAAGCTTTGACAAAACGCCATCTGGCATTCACGTGGCCAAGAGCGATTATTAGCCTGATTCATTTCTTATTTTTTGCGGGTTTATTTTTTTCGGGTCAGCCTGGTCGTGTTGTACAAATTGACATCAACTGGTTGTCTCCTCTGATCCGGGCCTCAAGACAGGCAATCATGCACTGCAACCCGACCTGTGGTCTCCTTGGCCAGGCATCAAGAAATTGAGCCCCCGCCTGCTGATGCCGAGGGTTTGATGTCTGTCTACTCTTGCCATGGCTGTCTCCTGCGCTAGACAAGCCAGGTGTTGTGACCATGCAGCTGACCGACCCACCATCAAGGGGTACATGTTAAACAGGATGAGAGGAAAGGGTCTAGAGACACGGCGATTCTTGCCCGGGTCTGTGCTGGTCTACGTCTTGGCATATCCAGGACTCGCGCCCGTCCATTAAAAAATATGATAATATTCTTCGCCATCTGGGCGGAGGGGTTTGATTATTTACATGTTAGACCATATTATGCAGTGCGCTCGTGTGTGCTTCCGTCCATCACATACGCCAAGAGCACAGGAGACACGCCATCAGCATATTATGTTTTGTCGAGCACAGCAGTCAAGGTGGAAGCACAGCTGCACTTGTGCACACCGTTGGCCTTGGGCGCCCACCCTCTCGTGGTCTGCTTGAGCAACGATGACGTTCACCCGTGTCGGAGCTGGTCACGTGCGAGGAAACAATGTTTGGCACGAGCAGTAAACAGTGGGCCCAGAAAAAACCGTTTCGAGCCGTTTGGCGGTGCGCGCCGAAATGGTTCTTTTTTTAGATGATGGTGTTTGGCGGCTTGATGCCATTCTTCTTTGAGGGTGCGGGTGGTGCATTTTTTTTCTTACTTTTTTGCTGCTTCTTCTTCTTCCTTCTTCTTCTTCTTCTCTTGCTTGACCGTTTTTTTTTTCTTTCTGCTTCTCTTTGCTGATCACTTGGCTACCTCCCCGCCTCGCGTCTGGTGTCTTGAACGCAAGACCCGCAAGCATGGCTCTCGATTCGGCCTTTGCTGATTTGGCGGAGCGCCTCAAAGGAATAAATCTGGATTCCGAAGCGACCGCGTTGATGCTGAATAGCTTTCTCAAGGAGCGACAAGCAGAGCGGGAGCGGGAGGAGCGACGAGCAGAGCGGGAGCGGGAGCGGGAGGAGCGAAACGCAGTGGTTGGTTGATCAGGTTTTCCCGCCGCCCCTCGTGTCCACAAACGGCTGTCTAACAACGCAAATGTCTGGAACGAAGGACTCACAGCGTACCCTCACTTTGTTTATGGCTTGTCAGCTCGAGTGCCTCGTGCAAGATTTTGCGCCTCCTCAAGGCTATAACCTCGTGAAGCATCTAGCAAGCATGTCGGTCGACGACGTTTCCTTTTTGTACACTCTCTGCAAGAAAAACCGTCTTACTTGCGACCAGCTTGAAAACTATGTGCACATTCCTGGTAAAGCATCGCTCGCTGGCTTGGCGCGGGACAGGCGACGGCTGTTTCCCGCCTGCCCTGTGCGCATGGACGTGCTCAAGCTTACTTGTGGTGCCTTGGGACCGTCAATAATTCTTAGAACACAAGTGGACCCCGAAGGGAGCCTCGTTGCCCACGAACGTGGAGGCCAAAGTGCCCAAGCTGCCACCCTCAGGAACCCGGAATATCAGCGACATCAACGACAACGTCAGAGAAAAATTCCATTTTGGCATTGTGCAACTCCCTCCGAGCTGTCATTACCTGGCTCTTGAGATTGTCCAGCGAGCTCAAGAGCTTTTGTCTGCCAATCTGCCTCAAGAAGGCATTCATACGAATTTGCTCTGCGCGTACACAAACGCATGCCTGACTAACGAAGTGAAGAGCCATGAGCCACACTTCTCGTCACTGATTACGCTGGCTTTGCAGGACCACTTCATTGCCCCTGCCCTTGCTGCGACTTCGGCCCAGGTTGCTGTCTCCTGCCCATCTGAGACGGAGCCGTTGGCTGACACAACCGCATCCACCCTCGCCACCAAGCAGGCGTCAGTGAGAAACCCCATTTACTTGGTACACCAGGCATCTCTTGGCTCAGCCAACATGCACGCTGACTGGGTGGGGTTTGACGTCCTGCTGCGACCCGTCATCGTGGGCGAGTGCAAAATGAGCGCCCAGCACTTTGACGAATTTGGTGGCCAAGTGGCCAACGAGGTTGTGCGCCTTGGCCTCTTGGGACCGAAATACCAAATGCGAAAGGACAGGCAGCACCCACTTCACCCCTTCATCAACATTAATGTGTGTGGTGACATTGTGACCGCTTATCTGGTCCTGCACTTGACCAGCAGTAACATGGTTGCCATGATTCAAAAGATGAAGGGCCTTGAGAAGGAATACTACCTGGCTTTTCTCCGACTTGGATCCGCCCAAATCTCCGAAAACCGCGCCGACCATCAGGCTGTCTGGGCGCTTTTGACCGCTTGCAGAGAGTTTGTGACGGGTCGCCAGCATCAGATTATCGAAAGCGGTCATCGATTTCCGCTTTCTCCGAGCCCTTTCCCTGCCCGGCTCGGGGCATGGCCGGATGGACCTGCAAGGAAACGTACGGGCCCAATGTGCAGCAGTACGTGCATGACAGTGCGGGCTCGTGGGTCATCAAGCACTACGACTATTGGGGCCGCCAAGCCGAGTCTTTGGGTACAACAATGTACCAGATTGGCGATGACACTGCCCGCCTCCCACCATCACGCGATCTGCTCCGTGCGCTTGCCGAGTTGCCAGAGACGGGCAAGTTTTACCAGGCGTGGGTGTTGGAGGACCTTGCGACGAGCTTGGTGCTTCTCCGGTACCCACGAGTACAGACGGCCCCGTGCGGCCTTCAGGTGCCGATGCAGCTGATCGATGTCATGAAGCAGATGCAAGTGTTGCACAAACTTGACTTGGTGCACGGCGACATTTTGCAGCGCAACATTCTCTTTTGCAACAGCTGGCAGCCGGAGGATTGGATGTTTCAGCCGCCCAGCTGGGAAAAGAAGGAGAAAGAGGAGGAGGAGGAGGAGGAGGAGAGCCAGCACAGCCCCGAGGCTCAGTCCGGCAATGTGACGCCATGTCAAAGCCGTCAGCCCTCGCACGACGAGCTTTCACTGAAAGACCTCGTCGTGGAAGCGGTCGCAGAGGAAGAGACTGTGCAAACGCAGCAAAGGCCGAAGCCGATGGCTTTCCTGATTGATTTCGACCTGGGTGGGCCCTGTGATGAAGCAACGTATGGACCTGGTTACAACTACCAAGGCGGCCTTGAAAAGTACCGCCACGCCAATGCCAGGCCCGGCGAGCGTTTACAAAAGGAGCACGACACCTATTCTTTGGCACGTGTGGCCGAAGATTTGCTCGAGGACAACGACGCCCGTAAACGGCTGGTCAGGGCGTTGGAGGCGGTCAAGTTGGACGAGGCGATTAAGTTGTGCAGAGCCTGCACTGGGCGTTCGGGGCGTGGCTGAGGCAGTAGCTGGATCGTAACGGACATTTGGCCCAGCCATGCAGTTATGCACATTTTACAAGTCTAGCGAAGGACATGCAGCAAATTGGGGCTCGCCTGGGATCGTAAGTTTTGGGGTTGTTGGGCTATATTCTTTATGCAGTATCGTGGTATCTGCGGGAAGGAGCCCATGTGGCATCACTTTATTGCTTGGTCGATCGGAGCAATACAATCAAGACATGACGACGGCGGGGTATGGCATCGTCGCCGTGCTGTAAAGGCAAATGAAGAATGGAAGATTGAATTGGGCGGGGCAAGACTCGCCGGCCACCCATCTCTAAACGTGAAGTCTTATCCGAATAAGCAATCTAAACGAGGTGTAATAGCGGTTTTTTTAACAAACCAGAGCAGAAGCAGGAAGGAGAGGGGCTGAAAATCGAAGCCGGGCCTTTATTATTATGACACACATGAATGAAGCCAGGGTGCTGAATGGCAAAGTGGCGTCAGGTTCAGTAGTCCATCACGCTTGCGCCGCTCTGGCATTCCCGCTGGCTCTTGTCCTTTCCCAGAACCAGCTTGATTCAGCTCGAGCAAACGCCACGTAGCTATTCAATCATGTCAAGTGTGTCGGGGCTCGGGCTCGGGCTGTGTTTTCATGTGGTGCGGGTGCCCTGCTCAACCCAAGAAAGAATCGTATGGTCGTGCAATGGTTTGAATACTCCGGATGCCCTGGCAATTGAGACTCAAGCGCATCAGCTCTGGCTCTGGTCGAAATGTGTGTTGGGGAGGCTGCCAGACGGCTCAATATGGCATTAACCACAAACACCCTCTGACACCAGAAGCCTTTACTCATTTTGTTGAATTATTCATCGAGAAGAGACTGTGCCGTCAACACCAGAGTGTGGAGATGGAGAGATGTGTCGTCACACACACACACGCACACAACACTAAACCACAAAACATGCGATAAAGAAAAAAGGAAGTCAAACTTAAGCCCATGCTCTCAAACTGACCCTCCTCCTCTCTTCTTCCATAGGTACTACTACCAAACGTTGGTGCTTGTTTTGTTTTGTTGCTTGCTTTTTGTCTCTCTCTTCTCTCTTCTCTCTTCTCTCTCTCTTCTTTCTTCTCTCTTCTCTCTTCTCTCTTCTCTCTCTTCTCTCTTCTTTCTTCTCTCTTCTCTCTTCTCTCTTCTTTCTTCTCTCTTCTTCTCTCTTCTCTCTTCTCTCTTCTCTCTTCTCTCTTCTCTCTTCTCTCTTCTCTCTTCTCTCTCTCTTCTCACACACATCANCCAGATTGAATCGCTCGTGCGCGGCGCGAGGGGGGGTCCCGACGACGACGACGACGACGAATGGGCCTGGGCCGTTCGAGAGTGCGCATCAGCGGGCCCTTTGGACGTCTTGATCAGCTCTCCTGCGCGTGTTGGCGATCGGAATAGGCCCTGGTGTTGGCTGAAGGGACCTGTTGCAGGTGTGTGTCGCTCGCAAGGTGATCTGGATTTGGATCGATGACACAACACTCGTTCGTGCCGTGTTGCAGGCGCGAGCAGAGAAGAAGACAAACCCGCGCCCACTGGATGGAGACACAACCTGCGAGCCATCTTTGATCAAACCCTGGCTCATCTGTCCGCGCTTCCTTATGCTTGCCCGTTGATGGCCACGCCACTGATGGCGTGCTCAGGTTCACATCCCGTGCTTCTCTTCGAGTCACCACCACCGGCATCATGGTACGACAACATAATCTCAACCGCTAGCCCCTGGCCGCCCTCTTGTTGCTCACATGCTCGCCATCGCGATCATCCAATGAATGATAGGGTCGGAAGGACAAGGACAAGCTGCGCGGGACCTCGCAGCGCGACATCACCATGCTCGGCGCCACCGTATGTTTGCCTTGACACTGCCGGCCAAGTTGCACTTTTTTCCATCCACAGTACAACCTTGGTCACCTCAACCCTCTTTCCCTGATCAACCCTTTCACTCGCCACAGGAGCGGGCTGCACCAGTCAAGCAAAGCAATGCGCCCCTGACTGCCGACGAAATCAAGCAGTTGGATGTCTTTCTGGTGAGGCATCGCCTCCCCTTTTCGCGCCGCTCGCTCGAGGACCTTTCTCTCATCTAGCCTCTTCCCCATGAATGATTGGGCCTCGTTCGTAGCAAGAGCGGCGCCTCGCCCAATCCTACGCCGAGTACCAAGCCAAGATCAACTGGGAACCGTCAAAATATCGCGATATGCTTGCCATGTCCTCGACCTCCAAGCAGAGCCAGAGCACCGCCCAGAGCTTGGCCGACTCAATCCCCAATCTGTTGGGTGAAAATGACTACACCGTTCTTGCCAAAAGAGTCAGCGATATTCGCGTTGAACTTGGCGGCTGTGACATGACGTATGTCCACGCCTCGCCCCCTGTCCAGCAAACATACGCCCTTGCCCGTCGGCACAACTAGAGAGGCCATCCTCATTCCTCCGCTCGGCTTCCATGACCTGCAGCTATATGAAGGAGTTTGTCGGTGCCGGTGCCCTGGACAGCCTGGTGCCTCTTCTCGACCGCGTCACGGAATAGTGAGTGTTGATGCTGATCTTGTTGACTAGGCTCGCTACCCCTGCAACTTCTCCGCAGCCGCCTCACCGAGTCCGGTGCCGCCATCGCTTTGCCCCTGCTATGGTAGCGCCGAGTCCACCGGCCGATTTGTGCAGGCACAACGAGAGATGATGTTTGCAATCTACCACATTCTCGATACGGGCGTACGATCAACGCATGCGCACCGCCCCCATGTCACTCGAATGCGCATGGGGAACCATTCGGCTGATCTCAATATTGGCGCGCACCCACCCACCCATCTGCTTTCATCTTGCACAGCCGGGTCTAGTCAAAGCCCTTGAAAATCAGCAACTGGTGGACGCCATTGTGCGCTCTTTGTCCACGCATGACTACCGCGTATGTACATTTGCTCGCTCGACCAGTCACAATGCAGTCACGCTCAAAAGTAGCCATGGCTGGCGCGTACCTAGCTCTCTCACCACCAGAACACCATTGCCTCGGGACCGTGACAATGAACTCCACGCCTCTGCAGACGCTGGAGCTCATCTTTCAATGCTTGGTCGGCTTTGTGCGCTCTGAATCGCGCGATGGCACCAGCAACGGTCTCCATCGTGTCCTCAGCGCTTTTCAGTACGGATCCCTTCACCCAATGCCCATGCACCAATCCTGTGTGCTCATGTTCTGCTACCCATGTCTCACATCGTGTGGCCTGGCTTTAGTGATCTGACCGTGACTCGTGGTGGCGGCCATCGGTTCAAGCCCGTCGTGCGGGTCCTTTTCGGAGCCGTGGAGCACCTCAATGTCGTGGTGCGTGTGGCCGCTACCGTGTTTTGCCTCCACTCGACTTGGCCTTGTGCCTGGCTGTCGATCTATTTCTCGGCCTGTCTTGGACCAACTCACGTGAAGCACGGGCATCGCAACCACGCGCTGATGCACTGCCTTGTCGTAGGTATCTGCGCTGTACTTTTGTAACGAGCTGCTGGTGCAGGCACCCGATCTCGAGATGCGCATGCATCTCCGCGCTGAGCTTGTGGCTTGTGGCTTTCACGAAGCCATCGAGCTGGTGTCGGATCATTTCGAAAGCCAGCTGGTCGAGCTCCGAAACATGGTGCCCGATCTCGAGGGTGCTGATGACACCCTCAACATGACCGCCACGAGCTCAGCCGTGCATGCCATTGAAACCAAGACGACCAAGCAGTATCGTCTCTTGGACTACATTATCGTACGACTTTGGAACGACGAGTATGGCGATGCTGAGGAGCTTGCCCAACGCTTCAACGTTGTCCAAATGGACTTTGCCACCCTCGATGACGTTTACGATATCCTTGTTGCCACACTTGAGGTGCGTCCCGTGTGCCACAAATAGGCTATTTTCGCCTGTGCACACGCTTGCTTCGGTTGCACCGACCATCCCCGCCACGCCTTGCTTGCGTGTCCATGCTCAGCTCTGCCTTGAATTCGTCACTAGGGATCGCCGGCAGAGCCATATCTGTTGTCCATCATGCAGCATTTGCTGTTGGTCCCTGATAACCACAACCTCATGTCCGTGTGGGCGCTTGGGCAATCCGTCACTGCCGTCCACCCACCCGTTGCGTGACAATTTCTCTCACCCTTGCTGTTTTTTTTTATTTGCTTCTTATTTTCTTTTTTTTTTTTTTCTTTTTTCTTTTTTCTTTTTTTTTTTTTTTTATGCCGACTCGTTAGGCTATATTATATGCAGTTGATTGAAGAAATTGTGGCGCAGGTGGTCTTAACCCGCGCTGAAGGCAATCCCGATTTTCGTGGCCGTTTTGAGCTTGATACGGAGCCCCTGCTTTCTGCCCTTGAGGACGCGTAAGCTCGATTTTGCTCGCACCTCATGTGTGGTCAGTGCCATCGTTTCATCTCACAGCGAACTGGGGCACTACTGGTGTGTGTATGGAATAGACACAACAACCAGATTCTGCAAGAGCACGTGCAGACACTTCAGGAACAGCTGGCTAGCGAGAAGAAGCGAGCCCAGGCTGCTTTGCAGGCCGAGCAGGATCAGTTTGCCTCGGCGCAGACCAAGTTTGACAAGACACAGAAAGAACTCGGTCAACAGATTGAGACGCTGAAAGGCGAGGTAACTCGCCTCAAGGCTGAACTGGCCAAAGCCCCAGCAGCTGGTGCCGTCCCGGCGGCACCAGGCAGTGCACCAGCACCACCCTCTGGTGCTCCTGCGCCACCTCCACCCCCGCCTCCTCCAGGCGGTGCTGCGGCTCCTCCCCCGCCTCCGCCCCCACCGGGTCCAGGTGGCGCACCTCCCCCTCCCCCTCCCCCACCAGGCATTCCGGGTGCACCACCGCCACCACCGGGCATCCCCGGTGCCCCGCCACCACCTCCTGGTGCGCCAGGCGCTCCGCCCCCACCTCCAGGCATGGCCATGCCAGGCATGGCCATGGCTCGGCCCCAAAAATACAAACCCAAGACAAAGACGCGACGAGCCAACTGGAGCAAGATCTCGCCATTTCAAGCCAAGGACACCTTCTGGGCCAGCGATCGTGACGACGTGGATAAACAGCTGCCCTTTGATCGTTTGGAAGAACTTTTTGCCGTCAACAATCGCCGCGGTGCCGGCAAACCCGAGAAGAGTGAGTGGCTCAGACTGGAGCTTGCTCTGTCGCTTATTGAGAGTTTGTGCGCATATCCGGCTTCTCAAATCGTTTGACTCACCCTTGATGGGTGTGTGGCGCTTTCAACCTGCTCTCCTGTGTTTTCGTGTGTGGCGTAGCGGTGACGGCTGAGCCGAAAGTTCAGATCATGTCGTGTCTGGACGCCAAAAAGGCGCAGAGCGTATCCATTACCATGGCGTCGGCCCGGTTGAACGCCGATCAGTTGCGTGACGCCCTCTTGGTGCTGGACACAGACATTCTCTCTGAAACGACGGCCAGCACCCTCAATGCAGCTATGCCCGACAACAATGAGGTTAGCTACCACTTTTGGCTGCGTGGGAAACTCTTTTCCGGTCCCGACCTGTGACAGCTATGTTTGTTTGATTGCAACGATTGCTCTTGTGTTTTCTGTCTATAGCTTGAGGCTTTGAAGGCAGCGGCAGACAATGATTCGAGCAAGATTCACCCTGCCGATCAATACTGGATCCGAGTCATGGATCTGCCACAACTACAGAGCCGTTTCCGGCTTGTTATGTTGCTTCATAGCTTCAAGGACCAGGTGGAGGAGATTCGCGAGCCCGCCCAACGCCTGTTGCGAGGCTCCAAGTTGCTGCGACACAACCAAAGCTTCCAGCATCTGCTGGACGTGGTGCTGGCCTTTGGCAATTACATGAATGCCAGCAACAACGCTCCCTGGGCGGATGGCTTTCAGTTGACCTTTTTGACCAAGCTCAGCGATTGCAAATCCAGCGACAACAAGCTTACGCTACTGGATTTCTTGGCCGAACTTGTCGAGGACGAGAAAGTCCCACAACTGGCAACGCTGAGCGACCAGCTGCGGTCGGCCATGGTAGACTCGCGAGGTGCGTCGAATTGGTCTGGGTGTTCCTTTGCTGAGCGCCAGCGCTTAAATTGGGCTCAGTACAAGCAGTACCACGGCTGTGGCGTCTGTTGCTTGTCTCACTTGTATGGCTTTGGTACGATTGCAGTGGCCCCAACGGTCCTCCAGCAGGAATGCCGCAAGCTGTCGCAGAGCTTGTCAGAAATTGACACGGCCATTACCAAATATAAGGTGCAGTCTGCCTTGGTGTTGCCGTGTCGTTGCGCTTGGTTGTTTGCAGCGCTTGCCCTGGCCCGTGCAGCTTTCATCACGACTCGTCGTGTTGGTGTAGAAGAGCAAGGAACAACCGGAGAACGATAGATTTGCCACCACGGCCACGCAGTTCTTGGATGAGCAGGCTCCTTTGATCAAGGAGGTGGAACAACTTTTGTTGGATGCCACCAACGCTTTTGCCGATGTGGCCGAGTACTTCCCCTCTGGCATCTCGCCCGCCGAACCAGATCCGTATTTTGAAATCATCGAGCGCTTTCTTGACCAATTTGAGGTCTGTGACACATCTTATGATTATATTCAGCACTGCGCGCCATGCCGCTTGTTAATGAACACTGTGATGGTTTTGTTTAGGAAGCGCGCAAGCAAGTGGTGAAGCGACGCAAGGCGGCTGAGAAAGCCAAGGAGCAAGAGGCTCAGGCGGTGCGTTTTCGTTGCCGTTGGCCGATAGTCGCGTACCAGTGCCCTGCCCACTCGTGCCATGCGGCGAGCTTTGATTGACATTGTGTTTTGTTGTTGCTTTTTTCAGCGCGAGAAGGAGCGTCAGCGCAAGGAACAGGAGATGGCGGCCAAGAAGAAGAATGATATGCGACGCAAGACCATTCTCGAGGGCAACGAAGGCCGTGGTTTGCTCAACTTGGACGACAATTTTACCACTTCCAACATGACGTAGGTGACGCGCCGCGAGACCGCATCATCTCGCAAAGCCGTCTTTCAAGGCCACGCTCACGGCTGACGTATGGCTCTGTAGGCGTATTCGCCGCAAAAAGCGCGAGGCTGTCAAGTCCACATCCAGCGAAACGTCTGGCGGTGGGTACTTGCTGGCATGAGAGCCACCTGCGAGCCACGCTTGCAGAACTCACGACCGTCTTTTTGTTGGTTGCTGTTGCTGTGCTCAGGTGGATCGGTGCGCCGGCGCCATCGAGCGCGCGATCGACCTGTCGCTGGCGCGTTTGAGGATAACATGCTGTTGCTGTCGCCCGAACAACGCGCATCCAGTGCCAGCAAGACTCCACCCACGCCTGTGGCAGCCGTGACCCCCGCATCTCCAAGCATGGGCACACCCAAGTCACCGCCCGCCATGCAGCAAGTCATTGCTGAGTTTTCACGGTCGCCCAGATCGCTCCGATCGTCGACGAATGAGGCCCCCCGATCGCCTTCGCTCACCGACTGCTAAGATGCCGAGCAACACCAGTTTGCTGCCTCTTTGATGCTGCGCTCCACCCAAGAGGTGGCGGCGCAAAGCGGCTTGGCATGTGAATACAAACCCGCTTGCGCTGCTGTTAAAATGCTGTGTGTCTGTATGAGTGTAACACCATGTCTGTGCTTTTGGGATGTGACCCTGGTCTACCACTGCCTGGCCACCAGAGCTTCAATTGACACATGACCACCTCTTCTCTCTCTGTCTAACTCTTTGTACTTTTGTGGGCCAAATTGTCAGCGATTTGTGGGTGTGGGTGTGCAAAGCTGGATCAAAAAGTTGAGCTCTTTGACTTGATTTCCTTTCGCACACACACACTGGCGTGGTGCTCTCGTGGTGGGCGGTGGATGCGTGAGACGCGGGAGCTAGAGGCTACCTGAGCCAGCAGCATGCCGGCACATTATCTGGCAGTTGCCTTTCAGGGCTCGATCCTGGCCGAGTTTACTGAATCTCAGGGCAACTTTGTGACCATTGTGACAACCTTTATTGCCAATCTGGGCGCGCAGCCGGGCAAGCGGGTGTACCGCAGCGATGAGGGTGCGGTGCGACATCTCTACTGCGTGCTGGAGCAGGATCAGGTGCAGTTTGTGTGTTTCGCAGAGGCGGGTACGCCGCATGCTGCCATCTTTGACGGGTTGGAGCGTGTAGCGGCCCGTTTTGCAGCTACCTTTGCCAACCAGCGAACTCGCCCCGCCTACTCGCTGAACAACGAGCTGGAGCCGCTCCTGCGCCGTGAGCTGGGACACATTAACGCTGCACGGTCCGATACAGACGCATTACAGTCTACCCGTGCTCAGGTTGACGAAGTGCGTGGCATTTTGGTTCAAAACATTGATAAGGTTTTGCAGCGCGGTGAGGCCCTGGATGCCCTCGTCGACAAGGCCGAGGAGCTGGAGTTTAACGCAGATCGCTTCCGCCACAACGCCACCCGTTTGAAGCGTCAGATGTGGTGGAAGAACATCAAGTGGCAAATCGTTCTCTTTCTCGTCTTTGTGGTAGTGATCATCGCCATCCTGGGCATTGCTGGTGTCTTCAAGAAGAAAAAACACTCCGGCTCGAAGGATACCACCACCACCACCACCACCACAACCAGCGCGCCTTAGGGCAGTGGTGTGTTTTTGCTTCACATGAAAAGCAGACACCTCGCTTGCGCGCGCCTGGTGCGGATGTGTGTTGAGTCTCTGGTCCCCGACTTGACAGGCGTGTCTAGCGTCTGGGTTGTTCTACTGTTTATTCCTGCATGTTAAACTTGTCTTGCGTTCCGTCCCGCTTGGCATGCATGGATGGTGTAATTGAGTTGAAAGCTTCAGAAAATCGACCCCTGGACTGGTTTGGGCTTGTCGTTGCGTTCCGACCACGAGTATAAAACCTCCACTGTCGCCATTTCAACTCGCACATCTCCTCACCGCTGGCTTGACGTCCTCGTACCCTTTTACACCTTCCCTTAACCTGTTGTTGAAATCCGTCCTCCGTGGTTCAACACTTGCCTCATCCGGGAATGCAGGTTTTCCTGGATGTCCAGGAGATATGCCACGCGCGCGTAAGGGGTGTGGACTGGCGGGGCAGAGCACTGCAGACCTAAAAAAACCCGAGCAAGCAAAGAAAAAAAAAAAACAGCCAGCACCCTGTGCACCAAGCAACCTGAAATTCACTAAAATTCGATGAAAATTCAAGAAAAATTCGGAAGAAATCAATCACGTGTC